CATCTTTGATACATAGTCACCTCCTAGTAAATAATATTTTCCCAAGTTGGGGTGCTACGAGACATATTTACAAGTAATTAAATCCACACTAGATATTAAATCACTAAGACAGCTTCCTAGTTATTAGCAAATAAACTCACTGGTTCAAGTATCCAAAGTGTCATGTCTGCCATCATCTGACCATGATTACTATTTCACATTTAGAAAATATAGAAATGAAGGGCTGAATATTTAAAAGATTGATTTGTTTACATTTAACACTCTACTTCTGCTGTTGGCATACCTTTTACTATTAACTACTGCTAACAGCATCACTGATTTATTGACCACTTAATGAGATAAGGGACTACTATTGGCATTCATATTTTGGAGACAGAGAAAGAGAGGGACAAGGAGAGATGGGACAGGTTGCTCAAACACTTGGTAGCAGGGGGACATGACTAGAAATGAAGCTTACAGTGCCCAGATTTAGAATCTAGGATCTTCACTTCTAGTCGAGGATAATCAAACAAGCGGCCTCGACTATGATAGGTAAAGTGTATTGCATTCTTTTTCTAAGCTAAGTATATAGGATAAGTACATAGACTTGCTATTCTATTTGTTTAGACTTGACATTCGGGAGACCAGCTTCACTTTGACATTTGCAGGCTGGCTTGGCTTTCATTTGACTGCCAGATATAAGGCAACCCAATATTTAGTTTACCTGCAAAGGCAGTTAGAAAGCCCTGGAGAAACCTGATTAAAATGCAGCACATTCCCAAGGTCCCCTATCTTGCTGTGTTGTCATAGAAACAGTAGGATTATTCTGGTCACTGACCTTTGAGGGAATATGAGGATACATTTTCATAAGGTTCCTAAGAGAAGCTATCCTAGTATATTAACCTCTAGTTGCAAGATCAACATTTGGAAATCCCCATTGTGATCCAACCTGATTCTAGAAGTATATCAGAAAAATGTAGTAGGGGCTTAAAGGCTTTTTGAAGGTATGCTTTTTTAACAGCTTCCAATATGCCAGCCGCGGTACTGAATTTAAAATAACCAAAGATACTCTTGTAGCAGCAAGGAAACATTGAAGGAAATTATGGAAAATTATACAATTAGAACTAAAACTATATTTAGATACAGTGTCATTTCCACACTACTGCTACTGCATTTGGAGACTTTTAATCTAAGCTTGCTCAACGAATAAAATACGGCATAACCGCATTTAAAAATAACACCCTTCGAGAAAACCAAAGATAATTACCAGATTATCTTGTAATGTTATATTAATATTATTTAAAATACGGTGCTTAATTTATGTACTCTGCTTAATTAATTTATAAATGCAGTCATTACCTCACTAAATGTATGTAATTGAATATCCTAGTTAAACTTTAATTTATACACACATATTTTAGGTCACTTGACAGAAGCCATTTATACCCTTGAGAGTAAAACACAGTGTCTGCTTCTATGCAGGCAGTTATATGAACATTTCTATATTACACTGAAGAGTAATAGTACTATTGTTAAGATATCCATAGTTTAAAGAAATATTGACTGGGGGGTTAGGAATGAATTTCTAGAATTCTAAATACTTATCTCTAGAATTTTGTTTGTTTTGTGGCCAAACTTGGTGGTGCTCAGGGGTTATTTCTGGCTCTGCACTCAGGAATTACTCCTGGTGGGCTCAGGGAACCACATAGGATGCCGGGGATTGAACCTGATTAGGCCACATGCAAGGCAAGTGCCTTATTACTGTAGCATCTCTTACTATCTCCCCAGCTGTCTAGCACATTTCTCTTTCCAGACATGGACATCTGGGAGAAAAAAGATACACACTACACAGCCATCAGGAAAAAGGAAGTCACGAAATTCTCTTATAAATGGGAGGACATGCAGAGTATCATTTCATGCTGAGTGAAATGAGTCAGAAGAAGAGGGACAGGCATAGAATTTGTGGGATATAAAAAAAACATAGGGGTCTGGAGCGATAGCACAGTGGGTAGGGTGTTTGTCTTACATGCGGCTGACATGGGTTCGGTTCCCAGCATCCCATATGGTCCCCTGAGCACTGCCAGGAGTGATTCCTGAGTGCACAGCCAGGAGTAATTCTTATGCATTGCTGGGTGTGACCCAAAAAGCAAAAAAAAAAAAAAACAAAAAAAAAACATAGTCTGAGACTAATACCCAAATACAGAGAAGCAAGGGCCAGGAGGAGGGTCCACTGTTGGAGGCTTAACACCAGTGGTGATGGAGAGAGGGCAGTTAGGACAGGGAAGGGATCACTAGGCAATGAGAGTTGGAAAGGAGCACTCTAGACAAGAACTGGGTGCTGGAAGGGGGAAAAGGGACAACATGATAACCTTTCAGTACCTGTGTTACAAACCAGAATGGCCAAAAGGGGAGGGAAGAACTTAGAGGGGCTGTTCTTGCCGCCCCCATACACTGTGTCCTGTACAACTTTCTGCTTTAGGCTGAGCACAATACACACCCCTGGACAATCCCTTGTGAAATGAATACTGATCACTATTTTGTTTTTTTGCTTTTTGGGTCACACCCGGCAATACACAGGGGTTACTCCTGGCTCTGCACTCAAGAGTTATTCCTGGCGGTGCTCAGGGGACCATATGGGATGCTGGGAATCAAACCCGGGTCAGCCACATGCAAGGCAAACGCCCTACCCACTGTGCTATCTCCCCCCTGAATACTGATCACTATTGATGGTTTTCTTCAATTATCATTAACGTGAACTCTGCTTTTTTTTTTTTAAGCTTGGCCAACCTGGGTTTGATTCCTCCGCCCCTCTTGGAGAGCCCGGCAAGGTACCAAGAGTATCTCGCCCCACAGCAAAGCCTGGCAAGCTACCTGTGACTTATTCGATATGGCAAACACAGTAACAACAAGTCTCACACTGGAGACATTACTGGTGCCTGCTCAAGCAAATCGATGAACAATGGGAGGACAGTGCTACAGTGCTACGAATTTGATTGCTCTGCTGCAAGGGTCCATCCAAACCCAGCCTTGGAAGTTTCACTACAGCCCTGTTCGAACAAAGGGGACTGAATAAGTCTGATCTGTAGGGTCCGATGTCTGAAAAAAACAAACCTATTTCCAGCCCCCACCCCCGCCCCCATCCTCAGGTCACTTTAAAGGTGAGTGTCTCAGGCAGGTGGGCGGTAAGTGTCGAGCATACACTGTGTCCTGTACAACTTTCTGCTTTAGGCTGAGCACGATAACCAGCTATCATTCCACGGGGATGTCGATGCACATATTAGTACTAAGATCCTTTAGGTGCAGACGAATGTTTTAATTTTTCACTGTTTTTTTTTTAACTCATTAGATATTGATTGATGTATCACTGTATCACTGTCCTCCCGTTGCTCATTGATTTGCTCGAGCGGGCCCAGTAACATTGTGAGCCTTGTTACTGTCTTTGGCATATCAAATACCTCACAGGGAGCTTGCCAGGCTTTGCCGTGCGGGCGAGATACTCTCCGTAGCTTGCCGGACTCTCTGAGAGGGGCAGAGGAATCGAACCCGGCTCGGCCATGCTGGCTGAGTGCAAGGCAAACGCCCTACCCGCTGTGCTATCACTCCAGCCCATTGATTGATGTATGTAAATTAAATAGGAGATTGCCCCTTCTCTCCAGGTTATCAGGGATGCAGGCAGCTTCACACTCTATGGAAATCTCTTCCAATAATAGGGAGATTGGAAGGAAGTTTTGATGGTGACTGTGCTTAGACTTACTGCCTTCCTTGAAAATAATCCATGTGTAGCAAATTACTCACAATTACATATTTCTCACAGTTACAGACTGGTCATTCTCAGTGTATCCATTCTTACAACTAAATTTTGTACAGAAGACTTTTTTCCTGAAGAATAGGGATAAACAAAAAAAAATCAATTTCTTTATGGTTTTTCAAATCCTTCACCGTCAGCATTCAGAGTGAAATAATAGATTTTCCCTTATAGAAAAATGCTTTTAACCAAACACCCTAGAATTCGTGTTTAGCAAAATTTGAAGGCATCCATTATATTTTTACATAAATCACTAGCACTGACATTTATAAGATAATTCTCAGAGATCTCTAATGGCATGTCCTGAATAGAATCGGGTTTTTCATTATTTTTTATGAAGGAAATGATGAACTAAACAAAGTTAAGCAAGTTCTTTATGTGTAAACATGTCTAACGAACATTTGAAGTGGATGTAGCCAGCTCTTCTTACATTTATCCTTACATGAAACCCATTCTGTCAGAACAAACACTTAAGGCACCATTCTTATTGGTACGTGCTATTTCAGGGAATTCAGAGTATTAAATTAATATTTAATCTTTTCCTAATGCTTCTAAAATTCTACTTTCAATTATTGTCAAGCTGTTTCTATTTAATTTTGTCGTTCTCTTTTTCTATTTTTAAGAGTAGAGTTTATTATCAGAGATGGAGCAAACTATTTTTGTAATGAGATAAGATTTTATTTTACCTTTCACCATTTATATACAAACACATGTTAATAAAACATATCACAAAACAATGACATCACAGAGTTAAAATTCATCGGTGCCTAGTTTCATGCGCACATTTTAGGTATAGTATATATTAACAAGTTTCACAATAATTGCTCGTAGAAAGAATGATTAAAAGACATCTAGAAATCTCATACGATAGTCAAACACTCACAACTTTTCAACAAGAGCAACAAAAAATAGCGAAGATTTAGAAATAAGCAGTAGTCACTTGGGTGTTTTTAATTAGTTTTAACATTTTAGGTTTGAAGCCACAAAATCCACAGCACACAAGAGCCCTGCTACCTTATATTGATTTCAGTCAAAGGAAGCACTGAAATACAAGTGGGGTCAGGTACAGATATTCCAGTCACGGCTGATGGAAGACTTCAAAGTACACTGTAAAAACTGAGAAGATGCTAGGACCGGGCACATCGGAGACTCTGAGCACGTGTACAGGATGGAACATCTGTTGGCAGGTCTGAGGAGACGGGCGCAGAGATGTTTCTCAGGCTTCAGGCTCGTAGTCTTGGTACCCCTCCTAATTGTAGGGGCCAGAAAGACAACAGGTTGAGTTGGTGTCAATGAGTCATCATTACCAAGACTTCAGGCAAATAAGGGATGACTCACCGCTTTGAGTAAAGTTTAAAATCATAGTTCTGCTAGCACGTGTGGTTGGCCTCCAAGCCATGGAGTAAAATTCCTGGTACTAATCTCGGCCATTCTTGGGTGCTAGTCTCCTATTTTGTTACGTTATGTTCCCTAGATGAGTGCAATCTTTCTATGTCTATCCCTTTCTTTCTGAGTCATTTCGCTTAACATGATACTTTCCATGTAGTAACACTTGTATGTAAATTTCATGACTTCGTCTTTTCTAACAGCTACATAGTACTCCATTGTGTAAATGTACCAGAGTTTCTAAAAAAAAAATAAAATTTAAAAAATAAAATAAAGTCATAGTTCTGGTATGCCTCTATTGGTATAAATTTTATTTTTCACAGCACAACTTTCTTTTTTATAGTCTTGACTTCCTGTCAACTATGAATGATCAGCTTTTGTTTTTTGTTGACTCAGGCGACATGATTTACGATGGTATTGATGATAATATTCAGGAATACAATGTCACTGCATTGCACCAAGCAGCACTATCACGAGAATTTCACCACCCTCGCACCATTGCATTTAACTCCCTTGTCTTCCAATGTGACTCGTGGCTCTGGGCTCCCGGGTCTCTCCGGAAGGACTCGGGACTATGTCTGCAGCCAGGCATAGAACCCAGGTCAGCCGCATACAAGGCAAGCAACCGCCTGCTGTACCAGATCTCCATTTCTCTCCCCACCCCCTTCCCTTCCTCTCCTTCCCATCCCATCCCCCCTCCTTGGTCTCCTCCCTTTCTTTTCTCTCCTTTTCTTTTCCCTTCCCTTCCTCCCTTCCTCCCTTTCCCTTCCTCCTCCCTCCCACTCTCCCTTCCCCTTTCTTCTTCCCTCCCCCCTTCCTTCCTTCCTTCCTTCCTTCCTTCCTTCCTTCCTTCCTTCCTACCTTCCTTCCTTCCTTCCTTCCTTCCTTCCTCCCTCCCTCCCTCTCTTCCTCCCCCCCTTCCTTCCTTCCTTCCTTCCTCCCTCCCTCCCTCTCTTCCTCCCTCTCTTCCTTCCTTCCTCCCTCCCTCCCTCCTTCTCTTCTTCCTTCCTTCCTTCCTTCCTTCCTTCCTTCCTTCCTTCCTCCCTCTCTTCCTCCCTTCATCCCTCCCTCCCTCCCTCCTTCTCTCCTTCCTTCCTTCCTTCCTTCCTCCCTCCCTCCCTTTGTCCCCTCCTCCCTCCCTCCCTCCCTTCCTTCCTTCCTTCCTTCCTTCCTTCCTTCCTTCCTTCCTTCCTCCCTCTCTTCCTCCCTCTCTTCCTTCCTTCCTCCCTCTCTTCCTCCCTCTCTTCCTTCCTTCCTCCCTCCCTCCCTCCTTCTCTTCTTCCTTCCTTCCTTCCTTCCTTCCTTCCTTCCTTCCTTCCTTCCTCCCTCTCTTCCTCCCTTCATCCCTCCCTCCCTCCCTCCTTCTCTCCTTCCTTCCTTCCTTCCTTCCTTCCTTCCTTCCTCCCTCCCTCCCTCCCTTCCTTCCTTCCTTCCTTCCTTCCTTCCTTCCTTCCTTCTCACCTTCCCTCCTCCCTCCCTCCCACCCTCCTTCCTTTGTTCTTTCCTCCCTTTCTTTCTCTCCTCCTCCCTCCCTCCCTCCCTCCATCCCCTCCCTCCCTCCCTCCCTCCCTTCCTTCCTTCCTTCCTTCCTTCCTTCCTTCCTTCCTTCCTTCCTTCCTTCCTTCCTCCCTCCCTCCCTCCCTTTGTCCCCTCCTCCCTCCCTTCCTCCCTCCCCTTCCTTCCTCCCTCCCTTCCTTCCTTCCTTCCTTCCTTCCTCCCTCCCTCCCTCCCTCCCTCCCTCCCTCCCTCCCTTCCTTCCTTCCTTCCTTCCTTCCTTCCTTCCTTCCTTCTCACCTTCCCTCCTCCCTCCCTCCCACCCTCCTTCCTTTGTTCTTTCCTCCCTTTCTTTCTCTCTCCCTCCCTCCCTCCCTCCGTCCCCTCCCTCCATCCCCTCCCTCCCTTCCTCCCTTCCTTCCTTCCTTCCTTCCTTCCTTCCTTCCTTCCTTCCTTCCTTCCTTCCTCTTTTTACCTCTTTCTTTCTTCCTCTTTCCTTTTTTTTTGGGGGGGGGAGGGGCTGACAGGCACAGCCTGCTTGCTTTAGTAAGGAAGCCAGCAAGTGAACATACGTCAGACCAGCCTGGGCGCAGGGGAGGGTGGTGAGTGCCTGCACCTGCCGGTTTCAATAGGACACTGATACATTACTGCAAACACTCCCTCTCGCTGGGCACAGCACGTCAATTGGAGGATTTTTCATCCACAAGCACCTGTTTACACTGGCACGATGGAGTGAGGACATAACAGTGTTGGATAATGCCTGTCTCTGGAGAGAGTCCCACCAACCCTCGCTCCCACAGCAGATATTTCAAGATGAGCAATTTTTCCTCACATATAGCAAACCTTTACGATGCTTCTTCTTGCTGCGTGTCACAGAGATGATGCATATGCAGCGTTTACAATGAAAATCTCAGTTTCCTAAATGTTTGTTTTTTGTTTTTGGGATGAAATCCCAACGGATCGTTGAAGCCAGATGATCGGAAGGTTCATTTCCTGTGGTGCAGATTCCAAGGGCTGGAGTGAGGAACATTGGTCAAACCCTCCCATTCTCGGAGCTAAGAGCTGAACTTGTGCAACTCCATGACATCACCACACTGACCATGCCACTCACAGTGTAAAGGCATGGAGGCCTCTCTGATGGTCCCCATACGATATGGTCCTTTGTGATTGGGAAAAAAAAGCTCATCTAGTTCTCAGATTTCCCACCCCCCACCCCCCGAAGCCAATTATTCCTTACACTAGAAGTCTGATGAGGAGGTGAGTTTAGGATCTGCCTACACTTCCATTTTTTTTCTGGACTGTACCTCAAACCATAACTTCACTTCTCAGAATCCCTCCTACACCTGTGTATATGCGTTCACCGATGTGTAATTCTTCATATCTGACAGTCCCTGTGCAAGAATGCCTTCTCCTCCGTACTGGCCAGTCATACCTCCCAGCTTCTTCCAGAAGCTTCTTCCTTAACACTACTTCTTCTAGAAAATTCTGCTTGACAATTTAAGCGAGTCACTTACAACATTAAACTGTATGTCAGTTGCCCTTGTGATAGGTATAAGAAGACAGTCAATGTCTGTAATAGAATCACGATGAATGAATGAAGGAATGTAATTATATCTGCAGTCAATCAAAAAGTAAACACCTTGTGTCTTGGTTTTATCAATTACTTTGATTTTTTTTTCTGCAGAGCTTAGCATTGTGAATTGCATAAAATACCCACATACGAGTGGGATCTTATTGACAAAGAAACAAAATAATTGCAGTATCTATAAATGTAATTAATATCAATGTCATTTTATGATGCCCTGGAAAATAACAGAAAAGGTGTACCTGTTTTCACTCACTTTCCAGCAAAACAATGATAGATTTTTGAGATATCTGGTTTTGGCAACAGATTAGTATCTTCAAACAATGGCTGGCAAATCCCCACCCCACCCCCATTTTTGAGTAGAAAGAGAAATAATAGGTTTTACATTAATTAAAACTAAAGCCACTTAGTGCTGGGATTTTCTTCTTTGTGGACAGATTTTCAATAATAATCTAGTTACTTTAAAACAAAGTAATTAGGGGCTGGAGCAATAGCACAGTGGGTAGGGCATTTGCCTTGTACACGGCCGAACTGGGTTCGATTCCCAGCATCCATAGGGTCCCCTGAGCACCGCCAGGAGTAATTCCTGAGTGCATGAGGCAGGAGTAACCCCTGTGTATTGCTGGGTGTGACCCAAAAAGGAAAAAAAAATAAAGTAATTAAAAATAAAATTTTTATTCCTTCTTAGGTCAATCTCATTTACCAGGAGGGAAATTTCTAATATTCCTTGTGATACATTTCATATTTAAATAACTCATTTATTTTAATAAATAAGATAAAATTAAATTTTACTAATTAAATTGTATTTAATGCTAGACTGAAATATGTTTATTGCCACAAACCATGCATATATTGTATTTCCAAAAATTATAGTTTATAATTTAGGGGGAAATTTTGAGGGGCAAAACTTGTCAGTGCTTAGTGGCTACTTTAGACTCAGTGCTTGGGGGTCAATGCTTACAGGGCTCATAGCCCGGGCTCATGGCTGACAGTGCTCACCATCCTGGATTTCTTTTTCTTTGAATGCAGAGACCATGCGGTGTCCTGGACTGAGCCTCAGTCTCCTGAATGTGAAGCAAAATCACCAAACTTATGCACCAACTCCCTGGCCCTTGAGTTTAACATTTTTATTGAAAATTTATAATGCCATACAAGCAACGTTGAAGTTAAACAAAAATATTACTTCTCTTTGGAACACAGTTTCTTTGTCAACTTTTATTTTGCAATAGAGGGATACCATTAGAAGTATTCTCTAAAGCAAGGGTTGAGAAAATTTTCATATAGTGTCAGCCTGCAATTCAGGCGCTTGGTGCTACATACAGTTCTGCTGCTTGTTGCTTTTATGTAAGTTTGAACAATTGTAAAAATCCATGTCCTGGATTTGGACAATTTGTATTGCAAGAGACTAAAAACATATTCACTGAAGAAAAACGGGAGGGAAATCTCACAGTGAGAGATCTGGGGTGGTGCTGTTATTAGAAAAAGCCAGCTCAGACTCCTCAGTGTTATACACATCAAACTCCACCAGTGCGCACGCATACCTCGGAAGGCATCTCATAGGCCTCGCTGTCAGGCTCCCCGGGCATATCTTCCAGGATGCCTTCCTGAGCGCCTCCTTCTTCACCCTAATATTTCAATGAAGAAGCGTTAAAAACACTTGTGCCATTTTTGCTTTTCAATGTGTAGCAAATTCTGGAAACACGCATCATCATGGTAGAAATAGAAAAACGACTCTTTGCCAGCTCGTACTGCCAAACGCTCAGCCACCAGCCCACCTCACCGACTCCCCACTGAAACTATGAGGAGATGCATGCTGAGAGCGGATACTCCTGGGAACACTGGTCCCTGCAGCTGAGAACTCTGGGGGCCTTTGGGAGGCGGGTGGGACAAGTCCTCGTCCTGCTGGGTCCAGCGGCCAAACCCACACCCCAGCACATGCCAAGGCCTCAGCTCCACCCCTTCACAATTACTCTCTGCAGACACGCCAAACTGCGAATAATTTCATGAACCCCATGAGATCTCTGGTGTTTTTCTGGAATTGGGATGGGCACCTTCCTGCAAGCCCCCTCATTGGGACCGTTCATTCCCCCCCAAGTCAAATCATTGGCCCAGAACAGAGATCCTGAAGTCTCTGGTCACCTCCTAACGCTTCAATGGTGAAAGTCCAGGAGGAGGGAGCACAGCAAATTAGATGAAAGAGTCCCACAGAAGCCAAGTAAAATGGAGAGAAACAAAAACAGTATCACAGCCGGCTCAACGAGCAACACACAGCCTAACAAATGATCAGATAAGGATTTAGCAAACCCATAATCAACTATAACTAACAATTTTCACATGAAAAAGTTGATTTTTTTTATTCTTATTGATTTTAAGACTGGAGCTTTGTTATTTACTGAACTTCAACTCTAGAATTGTGTCAGTCGTTGTTGTTTTTTGCCTACATTAGACTTAACAAAAAAATCTATTAAAAAAATTAAACTTCACTTGTTTGTTCATTGCAGCACTCTTTACAATAGCCAGAATCTGGAAAAATACCTGAGTGCCCGAGAACAGATGACTGGTTAAAGAAAGTTTGGTACATTTACACAATGGAGTACTATGTCGATTGCCTCGAGCAGGCCCCAGTAACGTCTCTTTCATCCTAGCCCTGAGATTATATTCAAGGCTTTTTAGGAGAATGAGACCCATCATTGTTACTGGTATTTGGCATATTGGGTATGCCATGGGGAGTTGGAGTACTATGTAGCTGTTAGAAAAGATGAAGTCATGAAATTTACATACAAGTGGTACTACATGGAAAGTATCATGCTAAGCGAAATGAATCAGAAAGAGCGGGATAGACACAGAAAGATTGCATTCATCTGGGGAACATGAAGTAACAAAATGGGAGACTAACACCCAGGAGTGGCCGAGATCAGTACCAGGAGGATTACTCCATGGCTTAGAGGTCAGCCGGGCATTCTAGGGGGAAGGGCAGCTCAGATAGAGAAGGGAGCACCAAATAAAGGGTTTTGGGAGGATCCTCCCAGGATGGGAGAAGCATGCTGAAAGTAGACTATAGATCAAACATGATTGCCACTCAATGCCTCTTTTGCAAACCACAGCACTCAAAAGGAGAGAGATAACAAAAGGGAATGCCCTGCCACCGAGACAGGGTAGGATGGGGGTGGGGAGGGTGGAGGGGGGAGGGATCCTGGGACCCGTGGTGGTGGGGAATGGGCACTGGTGGAGGAATGGGGACTCGATCATTGTATAACTGAAACCCAAGCACAAACATTTGTAAGTCTATAACTGTACCTCAAGGTGTTTCACTAATAAAAAAAAAATTGAACTTCAGGGGGCTGGAATGATAGCACAGCAAGTACGGAGTTTGCCTGAGCAGAGTAGATCTGGGTTCAATCTCTGGCACCTCATATGGTTCCCCAAGCCCGCCAGGAGTAATGCTTGAGCACAGAGCCAAGAGTAAGTCCCAAACATGACCAGATATGGCCCCGAAGCCAAAAATATTATAAAATGACACTTCATATTATTGGTGATAAATGAAACTCTCCCATGCCTTTGGAAAGGAATATGGTAACGTGAGTTATTAAACTTACATATGTGTAGAATTTATTTTATACTGATATATCATGATTTACAATATTAATGTCTTAGGTATACAGTGTTATTACATTACACATGCCACTGATTTTGCCCAAGACATTGATTATCCAAGAAATATTCCCCCAAAGGTGCCTAAAATATTTTTCACAGAATTAGTAACTGCACTGAAAAACTGCTGACATAAATATTCATTAGATAAAAATTAAAATGCACAGTTCAACTACTCAATAATTTAAAATAATGCATTACCAGAGGGGCTGACGAGATACTACAGCAAGACGGGCACTTGCTTTGCCCATGGCTGACCTGGGTTTGATCCCCGGCATCCCATCTGCTTCCCTGAGCCCCACCAGGAGTGATTCCTGAGCACTGTTGGGCATTTCCCCCAAACCAAAAATAAATATATAAATAATGTATTACCATGACATGATATTGATAAACAAAATGAGAATTTAATTATCAAAGAAAAGTTAATATGTATAAAGTGGGCTGGAGCAATAGCACAGTGGGTAAGGAAGGCATTTGCCTTGCATGTGGCCAACATGGCCGACCCGGGTTCAATTCCTCCACTCCTCTTGGAGAGCCTGGCAAGCTACCAAGAGTATCTGCACTGCACTGCAAAGCCTGGCAAGCTACCCATGATGTATTCAATATGCCAAAAACAGTAACGACAACTCTCACAATTTGTTGTGAGATATTACTGGTGCCCGCACAAGCAAATCAATGAACAACGGGAAGACAGTACTACGGACAGTGCTATAAAGTATTGCAAACATTGTGGTTCTAAAAGACGTAAAATTAAGATGGTGTGCTTAAAAGAAAGGCAGAAGAGGTTCTTAAAGTTGGAAATTGATGAACATACTGTTATACAACCAATGAATCTAAAGAAAAGTAGGAATCAAAGGTTACCTCATAATGAACAAGAATGAAGTTTTAGCTGTCCAAATATGGGATAGAGGAAAGGCAGGTTGAAGAGAAAAGATAATAGTAATAAGGGTTTACATAGGGAAACACAAAGTAAACTCAAATAAGTAATCTCACAGTTTGAAAACTAGAAAAAGGAACAACAAATGAATCTCAAAGTAAGCAGAAGAAAATAATCAAAATTAGAGTGAACAGCTGGTAGGGCGTTTGCCTTGCATGCAGCCAACATGGCCAACACAGGTTCGATTCCCAGCAACGCATATGGTCCCCCGAGCACCACCAAGAGCAATTCCTGAGTGCATGAGCCAGGAGTAACCCCTGAGCATTGCCGGGTTTGACCCAAAAAGCAAAAAAAAAAAAAAAAAAAATTAGAGTGAAAATAAATGATACAGAAATTTTTAAAAAATGATACAAAGGGTAGATGAAACCTGGAGTTTGTTTTGCAAAGAATGGACAAACCGTTAGCTAGATTTACAGAATAAAAGGCGAAAATCCAAACAAATTGAATCAGAGATAAAAGGGGAGAGATTGCAACAAACACCTCTGAAATGACAAAAGATCATATAAATTTATGACACAGTGAATAACTATATGCCCCTAAGCTGGTGACACAGTACAAAGCTTAAGGAGCTGACCTTGTCTGTGGCCACCGCTGTTTTAGTACCTGTTAGAGGATGGTTCTCTGAGCACTGTCAGAAGTGGCCCCCACGCACAGAGCCAGGTTTAATCCATGGGCACTGCTGGGTGTGGACCAACCTTCCCTCAAATGGAAGCAAACACAAAATGTGAAGATTGTCTGGCTTCAAGCCCAGAGATGGAGCAAGCTAGAGTACTTGACCTGCATGTTTAAAGCCCTGGGTTCAGTTTTGTGCACCATGAAAACATCCCCACCAAAAAAATTGACTTGAAAAATGATCAGAAACACTTGAAAGCTACAAGTCACTACTGAAGGAAATAGAGAAAAGAGTAAAGAATAGAAAAAATAGTTCATGTTCATGGACTGTCACGGTCAATGCTCTCAAAATTATATCCCAGATATTATATTGATTCAGGACAATTCCCATCAAAATACTAATGTTGTTCATCAAGACTTTGGAATAATGCTAATAAAAAATGCTCCTGAAATTTACATGAAATCATAAAACTCCCTAAATAACCAAAGTAACTATGAGAAAAAAATATGATGTAAGGCATTATAGTCTCTAACTGTAAACTATAATAATGGTAGTACTGCAATAAAGGCAGATTTTCCCATCACTAAAGGCAGATTCTCAAATCAGTGGGACAGAATTAAGAGTCTAGAGATAAATACTATGGAATGTCAATCTCTAATAAAGGGTCTGGGTGCATCAAGTAAGGCAAGAAGATTCCCCAGGAAAATTACATTTAAAAAAACTCTTTCTGTACCTCAGAGCATTCACGGTAGTTAATATTTTAACATTTAAGTGGGAAAATGGCCTTGAAATTAGGCAAGAATTCATAAAATACATTGAAAAGCAGAGGCAGAACTCTCCTCTTAACACGTGCCTGAGGATAAAGACCTCAGAGGTGTCTTCGATGATTTAACTCAGGAAAAAATATCAACTAAATAAATAAGTTAATGGTGCTGCATTTAACTAAAATTATTTTACTATGAGAATGAACTAAATTAAAGTGTAACCTACTGGTTAGAAGAAAATATTTGCATTCCATGCGTCAGACAGTGGGCTCATATCCAAGATATATGCAACACACATAACTTCAACAACAAAACAAATAACATTTAAAAATAGGGAGGTTATACTAACAGACAGACACACACTTCTCCTATGAGAACATACTGGTGGCCATCAGGCATACTAAAAAAAATTATCTGATTTTTCAGGAAAACATAATGAAACTGTAGTATCACCACACACTGGTGAGAATGGATGGTCTCTATTGGGATAATCTGAAACAATCAATTCTCTCAGGGATATGGTTTTATTTTGCTTTTTGGATCACACCCAGCGATGCACAGGGGACACTCCTGGCTCTGCACTCAGGAATTACTCCTGGCGGTGCTTGGGACCATATGGGATGCTGGGAATCGATCCTGGGTCGGTCACGTGCAAGGCAA